TTGCTTGACTCTTTCTGCCCGGATGCGTATGGATATCGAATCAGATGACGTGTGGCACAAGCAGCGATCTGCCAAAATCCCAGGGAGAAGCAAAGAGGGTGGGAAGGGCCCGATAGGTTTAAGCTGTATGCTGTCAGAGAGGCCTTCTGTTGTCTGTAACTGGTGGTAGTTTGTTTTTGAGAGATCGGGTCTCGAGATGCGAGCAGGCTCTGGGAGTAGACTGAAGCTGGCTGTGAAGGTTAGTTTAGCGCGAGTCATGGAGCAGATACAAGCAGCAGAGGATGAACAGGCAGACGGAGCGAGGGTGAGACGGTGGATGATGAGAGGTCAGATGACGGGGCCGAACCTAGTAGATGGAGCAGGGTGAGTCGGGCACTCGTCGACGGCCGATTAGACAGGCAGCCAGAATGTAGAATATGGCGCGGACAGTCGGTAGGCAGCAGGAATCGCCGGATATCAGCGTGGACGTGAAAGACGAAGCTGATGATGAAGCTGAAGCCGCGCAAAACGATCGAAAAGCAGGAGGTGAGGTTGATGCTGAGTCAGCATGCAGACGATTAGATAAGACGGCAGATAAAAGATGGGCGGAGGAATATGTATATAAATCTGCAGGCGGCGCGAAGGCGCAAACAAAGGGGAGAGAAGAGATACGAGCGAGTACCAGCAGCAGCAGAAAAGCAAAGAGGAAAATACATCTAGCGACAGCAGGATACGCGGTACAGACAAGCCAGAGGCGAGAGAGTCTTAGACAGACAGCTAGGGTTCGGCTTATCCGACGCCGCGTGGGAACCATGGCTCGAAAGGCTTCAGTTGTCGAGTAATCAGCAGCCAGACGCCTTTCAATAGTCAGATCACTGTGGTAACTCTCAAATAGCTTACTAGTTAGCTGGTCCGTCTATCGGCACGATGATAGACACCAGCATCAGCATCGAGAGAACCTTCACGGAAGCGGATCCGATATTCCTCGATCTTGCAGACCTTCTCTCGGAACCCAGCCGACCAGCAGCAGCCCTCACAGCGAGCCTGTGGCTGATCCCATGCGACTGGCACGCTGAATACTCCCACCCATCTTCTTCAACTCTCGCTCCAAGTGGCAAGGGTAACTTGGTTACTCTTGTCTCAACCTTATCCCGCCCATTATGTACTTCTCTGTATACCTCGTAGGTTAGCATACTTAGACCCTCGAACCTATCCGCAGCAGCAGAGGCAGCAGAGGCAGCAGAAAGAAGAAGACCGATCGACTGGCTGCATGACCTCGTCCATCCCACCCCCTTCGTAGTGGTCCCTCCTTAACCCTCCACACCCCCCCCATATCTGCATCACCAACCATCACGAATGAGAGCTGCAGCTGGCCGTCCATAAAGCCAGCCGTCCGGCCTCTCTCTCCTTCTGCATGTTTTCAACTGCCTGACTGCTTGACCCTGACTGCTTCGAACTTGTATATTCCTTTTGTGTCGGCAAAACCCAGGTAGCAGCGCGGCATTGGATTGCGATTGCGCCCTGCCCTGATATCTGTTCTCGTTCTTCGCGAGCTTGAACCCCGAACCCTCGAGGCTACCCGCGCCTACTCCGTTTCGCTAAGCAGGCCAATCCGCATATCGTCCTCCGCGGACTCATCGTATCAACTTGCTGCTTTCTCGCCCTTCTGGCTGTCTGGCTGTCGGATCAAGACTCTGCGCGCCGTCTGTGTGACACCAACCACCTGAGTCTGCCTGGAAGAAATACCAGAATCGTCAACTCTCGACAATCAGGAAACAGACTCCGCACCGCTTCTTCTTATAAACTGCGAACTCTTTTGGTTGTCTGTCTGCATCAACTTCGACTTCTCTTTGACCGTCTTCAGCTTGTCCAGCTTCGGCGACCTCGTTGACATAGTTATTTTTCTGCCGGCCTTAACCCTTTTCGGCTCCACCGCCTTCAACGACCTTTTCTCAACTTCGCAACTTCGACATAGACGAGACGGCGAGGCGACATAGACTGAGACGTCGGGGATACAGGATATAGCGGCTACAAGGGAGGATACCGGAAGAGAGGAAGAAGAAGAAGAAGAAGACGACTACGAGCGAGTAAGAGATAAAGAGCGGGAGAGAGCGTGCGAGGCTTGCGATTGCAGATGCTGACCGCTACTAGATTCATGAACCTCCCTGGATCGCCAGACGCACCAGGAAGACATACAGCGATACCGCAGACTAGAGAGACATAGAGAGAGATACGGACCTTATCTGAACAGGCTGGAGACACACCTGCAGCGTGATAGACAAGGAATGGGCGACATCTCTGCTACGATGATCAAGAGCGAGCCTGACGAGCCCAACAACCCCCATCAGTTCATGATGTCCCCTTCTGCCTACGGGATCCCGACGCCGTCCTATGGCAACCAGTTCGGTGGCTCAGGTACAGGCACAGGTTCAGGAGCCGGAGCCAACGGAAGCGAGGGAATCGATCCGTCAGAGCTCACCATGCAACAAAACGGCTTCGTCTCCCACCACCATCCGTTCGGCTCCCAAAATCTGTCCTCTAGTTTCACACTCGGTAACGCTGGAATCGACACCGACGAGCTACTCGACCTCGAAATCAACGGCCAGAACCTTTCAAGAGACGATGGCCTCGACCAGCGCCAGCCTACCGCCATCTCCATGAGCCACCAGGGCCAGATGTCCCATATCTACTCCAACACACCCGACGGTGCTCCCATACAGTCCCCTTTCCTACGCTCTTCCTTCAACTACGACCAGTTCCGCCAAGTGCAGCATACACCACAAGCGACCTCGCCACACATGAACGCCATGAACGTCCACTTTGACCAAAACTACTCTGTCGCAGGTAAGGCTGCCCGCAACTCCTTCCAGGGTGACGCGAGAAGCCCCGTCACCCCCAAGACTCCAGGCATCGGCATCGGTGGGCTTAATATCAATACTCCAGACTCAGGAAGCTACTCCTCGCAGCCCATCCGTGCCGTTAGTCTACAATCTCAGCATCAGAAGAGCATGTCCGGGCAGTGGAACGGCACCCCCGGTAGCGCTCAATCGCTTATGGAGTCCCCGATCTCTTCGCCTGGTGGACACCACGCTTCCCACCATGCCAACATCCACGAGATGCTCAAGTCCGCTAAACATGCTTCCCTGCCGGCCAAAGTTGACTCCCTCCACGGCCACCACCACTCGTCTTCCTCCCAGTCACTCGAGTCCCAAGAAGCCAAGCGCCGTCGGCGCCGTGCCTCACATAACATGGTCGAGCGCCGACGAAGAGACAACATCAACGAACGCATCCAGGATCTTTCTCATCTTGTACCTCAACACCGTCTCGAAGATGAAAAGATCCGCAAGCAGTTAGTCAACAACTCCGCTCTCTCCACTTCCTCAGGCGCCAACGCTTCCTCCCCTCCAAACCACAACCCTGCCACATCCCTGCTCGCCGGTCCCTCCGCCCGGCGCGCCACCGCAGGTAACATTACTATGGGCCTGCCCATCGAGGAGAAGGAGAAAGGCCCCAATAAGGGCGACATTCTCAACGGTGCTGTCGGCTGGACTCGTGACCTCATGTGGGCTCTACATCGCAAGCTCGAACAGGAGGACCAACTCGCGGAGTACATTGCCTCACTTGGTGGTCAGTGGCCCTTTGAGCAAACCGAAGAAGATCGCCGGATGAGAACAGAGGTCTTCGATGCCATGGAGGCAAACGATGGTGTCAACTTCTCTTATTCTCGTGGAGTCGGAAGCGGGCTCCGCGTCCCGAAACATACAACAATCTCAGGCGAATCGCTTCCTCAGTCAAACAGCCCCTCGCAAGACCAATCTCAACCTCAAACCCAACCGCAAGCCCAATCCCAGACCCAAACATCGGGCAACAGTCCCGGTTTCAACAGCTCTCAGTTCTGGAATAGCTCAGGACACATCGGCCTAAGCGTCAAGGAAGAAGACGAATATGCAATGGAAATATGAAAGAAACCATATCTTCCTTTTTCCATCTTGTCTTTCCTCTTTTTTGCTATCCAAGTCAACTATCCATCTAAGGGTTAGGTCCACGTTTTGCATATATGGTCGGTGGCGTTTACTTGCTTCGTCTCTACAGCTCGAAAAGAGATGATTTGGTCAGTGGGTCAGGTTGGGCGACTCAGCATCGGGTGAAGGCTTAGCTTCCTGCTGCACTGTTATTTCGTTTATACATTTCGGGCTTTCTCCTTGCTACGTGATTTTCTTTTCATTTTTTATTTTCATGCTGCTGCTTCTGCTCACCTGCGTGCTTGTCTTCTTGTTAGCTTTCTCATGCATGGCATGGCATTGCATGGCATTGCATGGCATTTCACTCCTGACTACCAACACCCCCTTTCCTCTCCTTATACGCCCCTGCCAGCTCCTTTTGGCCATCTCTTTCATATATCCCCGTATATCACAACATACACATACATCTACGAAGTCACGATTGATTGATTGATTGATTGATTGATTGATACCGATTTTGATATCCCACAGCGCCTTGTCTGTCCTTCCATTCGCCCCGAATTCCCATCTCACTCCCGGGTTCTTGTTTCCTTCCCCGTCAGATCTATTTTATACATATAGCAGGGTACCCAGGTTCCCTTTTCTCATATCTCCTTATTTTGGTTTTCTCCATTTCAGGCGGTTGGCTGATGTCCCGCGTACATGCGCTACGTACTGCTTGACCTTTATTTCCTACTTTTCACATGGCAGACGTTAGTTGCCTGATTGATTGATTGATTGATGGCTTTTCTGATATACATTTCATGCATACCCCATTTCCCCAGTCCCCATTGGTTCATGTCTCTTTTGCCTATTTCCTTGGGCTATGCTGTCATGCCACCCTTACATGTCTTCTTTTCCTTTACTTGACCCCCTTTTCTCTACCTCCCATTCGTAGTACAGTTTTTCTTTCTTTTTCTTCTTTTCCGATTAGCCTTGTTTTGTATTTATGTAGTTAATATCATCCCCTAATAACGACATGAACCGTACTCATTGACTTTACTCTTGTGTTTGAACAGAAAATGTAAGAAAGGGAAAGATATACATATGTAATGAAATCTATTCCTGTAGTATGCCAATGTCTATGCGCCAAAGGTACGGAAGAAAAATAGTGGTATCATCAGGAAGCTGTCTGTCTGTCCATCTACTGGACGGAGAACGGAGAGCTCTAGCAGTGACGCATGCATATATACCAGTAACAGCATGCCTGAATCGCCAGAAATGGTTGTAATGTGTCTCCGTCCGGAGTATGCTCGCCTGGCGGCCAACGCCTCGTCTGTCATCTACATCCCGAGCCGGTATATAAATTTTTCAAAATAATAACCAACACATCACTCCTTTCTCAAGGTGCGGAAGAAATCCGTCACGGCAGTAAACACAACGAGCAAGATACCGCCTCCGGGGCCCAGTCGAAGCACCTTGGGCAGGAATCCCTTATACAGTGCTCCGAAACCTTCCTCTCTCATCACAGTTCCCAACGCAGGCCATGCCCAGTTATACTTGGGTACAGAGCCGGCGATCTTGGGGCTGTTTTGAATTCGCGACTTAACCACGTCCATGGGGGTGTTGATGACTGTTCCGAGAGTTCCTCCAACAGTTCCGGCAATGATATCGTTTCTCATCTGCTGGCTCTGGTTTCCCTTTTCAACTGCAGGCAGCTGTGCCCTGATCTGGAAGATACTGCCAAAGTATCCCGCGTTCCAAAGAATATGGCGCCAAAGGGTAGCCTCGAGACCATTGTACAGTGCCAGGGGGCCTTCGTGCTTGATGATCTTGCGAACGACATCAATCATACCGTTATACTTACCGGCGGACTCCTTGTCCTGCAGACGGATCTTGACGAGCTCAAAGGGGACGACGACAAAGGACTCTGTGGCTCCGGCAGTGGCTCCGGTAAGAATAGCCAGTGGCTGGTTAGCCTTTTCCATACCGAAGATCTTGCGATAGAAGGCGCCCCAGCTATCATTTGCTGCGAACTTTGTTGCTCGCTTGGGTGCTTCCATCAGGATAGGGGCGTTAATGCCGCGGTACAGGCGGGAGAACCTGCTTTTGTTAGCTCAACTATCTCTGGCGCACAAGGCAGACAGCGGGCGTAAAGGACGCACCCCTCATTCCGGACAATCTTGCTAAAGCAGTCAAACATGCCATTGTATCCCTCTGCGCCTTTGGCGGCACCGGTCTGAAGTTGGCTGGAGTAATTGTTAGCATATGGCTATGGCGTTAACTTCCGTTGCCGGAGATGGTGGAGAGGCCTTACACTCGGGTCTTGACGACATCCAGAGGATACCTAGTCGACTGTCAGTATGGGACCTGTCATGGCAGCAATATGGAAGGTGGTACAGGCGTACATGACGAGAATCTGTAGGTAATTGACAGTTAGCCAGCCGCAGGCCGAAAGAATGGCTTTAGAGGGGAATAGCCAACCTCAGAGACACCGGCAACCGCACCAGCGGCAAACTGGTAGGCGAACGGCAATGGGGCCTTATCCTGCGACATCTTGTCTGTACCGAGTGTCTTCAAAGTATCCTGAGAGCGCTGAGGAGAATGAGAAGTTGGTGATGTCGAAGTCGAAGTCGAAAGTTGAAGTCACAAGAACGACGAAAAAGCCGAAATGCAAAAGTCGGCGAGCAGGCCGGAAGCTGACTAAGCAGCAAGGTTTTTGCGGCATTTTAAAAGGTCGAACGAAAAACGAAGAGCGATAAGAAGTTGGCAAAAGATGCATAGGAATTGATGATAAGACGAGAGACGGAAAGGATGAAGCATCAGGAAGTGGTGGGAGAAGCTGCAGGGTTATATACAGATAGTTGGGATTCGGACTGCATGGCCGCACTTGTGTTGATAGTGGTTTAGTGACTCGATCTATAGACTCGAGCTGCATATAGCATGGGATCGTACTTTGTATGGCAGGATGTAATAAGAACATGAAGAGATGTGCTGAGAGATCGTGATGAACACCAGAAAAAGAAATGAGAATAAGTAAGATGAGCAGAGCAGAATATGTATGGAATAGATGGCAATATATGGAGACTCGGTGTTCTAGGTATGATCTATATCAGCGTCTACCAGGCCTGTATAGAGGTGTGAGGATAAGCGACATAGTCAAAGTCCTCCGACATGACTACCACATGTTCCAATCTAGGTCATCCATCTTCCCTCTCTGTCTGCTATCAAGTTCACCTTCATCTTATTTGCTTTTTATCATCTTTTCCTTGCTTTCTTTTGCTCTTTGCTTCTTCGTCTCATGCAAGTTACGACCCACGTGACCGTGCTTCTGTCGCGTCGCGTTTGCAACGTCAAAAGAGGAAAAAAACACTTAAAAGCCGATAACATTATGAAACGCAACAAACGAGTTGAAGAAGACTCAAGAAAGACCACAAAGATGAGATGAAGAGGACACCCGTATAAGACACAATGATGCATGACCCCTTTGTCTGCTCGAACTCTAGAGCGAAGCTAGACGCCTTTAGATACGCTCCAAAGCGGACGACCGAGATGGAGGACGACCTACTGGAACAGCCGACTCAAGAGTCAGAGGAGACGGGAAAGACAGTATCAAAGCCAGAATTTGATGCAACCAGGCCGGTACCATGCCCAGAGACGCCAGTCCACAAAATACCGCTTGCAGACATGATAAGCAACACCGAAGACGCCCTCAAAAACGCGCCAGAGAAGGAGATCACGCCCGGAGACCATGTCTTCTGGGACCACGGAGGCTCCTTTTCACGATCAACTCCAAATACTGCGAGTAAGAGGCGTAACCGGAGTTTGTCACCTAGCAGTTCGCCCTCCTATATCTCCGGGGATGGTTCCTTTACCACTATGCTCGCTTCGGACAAGCTGATGTTGACTACACCCCAGCACGATGCCGCTGCAGAGCTCTGGAATAGGTACGTGGGCAAGGCAGATCTGCCAGAGTGCAATGTACCTCCTTCTCCGCGTACTCCAGGCCTCAAGGGTAGTGCAAGAAAGGCGGCCAGTCTACGTAGAACAAACAGCTGTGCCATTGACTGGCCCAAATCGGCCACCAAAGGGAAACGGTCTGTGGACTGGTTAGGATCAAATAGGCGGATTAGGCGGCCTCTTACTACTGAAGAAGGCGAGCAGGGTCCTTTTGGCAATTCAAGAATCAATATGCTTGTTGACAGGATACAGAAGTCCCTCTTGAAGAAGTCTGGTTCAAAAAATGAGGATCCTCCTGCCCCAGCCCCGCCTAGCTCTTCACCTTTGCCTGACAGAGCAGATGAGCAGCCGTCTAAACGCATGAGATTTACCATTGAATCTCCCACGCGTAGAGGACATCCAGATACGCTTCCACCACCAAACAAGGATCAATTGTCGTCAGACTATGGTTATGACGACCAGGACCAAGAGTTTTTTGAGCTCGCAGCTGCTTCAACGAATGAGGCTTTTCTAGACACGCAGAAATGCAAAAATACCCCTAACACATTACGGCCTGATACAAATGCCAATTATGATACCTTCTCACAGCTCGCCAAAGATATGAGCGATGACTCCGATGATTTCGATAATGATGATTACGACGGCATGGATGAGATTATAGCAACATACACTAAGAATAACCCCGTACCTGCACCCACTACTTCGAAAAATGCCGCAACGACGAATACCACGGCTACGGCTACTGTTAAACCGCCTGTCACCCCGCAAAAAGGCCAGGTGAATAGGATTGTTCCTGAGGAAGAGTTTGAAAATATTATGGAATTAGATTCATTCGATTCTGATCCTGGTGACAACGTTGGTCGTACCCTGTATTCATAAATACATACTTACATATAGTTCGCATGCTTACTGTTTATCAAGCCCAGTCAAAATCCGCAGGCCATCAAGCGCTATCTTGTCATAGATTTAGCCGAAAATACATATACCAATAGCAAAGGCCGTATTCAGTGGGAGAAAGTATGCCCTCTCTCATCTGTGTTGTGTATACATACCTAAAAACTCATGCTAACGTTCGTAGGTACTGGTCGTCCGTGAGGACAAGAAGAAAAAAACTCGCGCCATCACGCTACGGGACTCATGGTTTGACTCTGCTGTTTCTAAGGACACTTATATTCACCTCATAGGCAACTTCGATCGCAGTGGCCAATGCCTTGTTGACGACTCTTCCAGTCACGCCATCATCCTGGATCCAGACCACCTCATCTCTGCCACTGTAGTGGCGGACTCCTTCACATGCCCTCGCCGTGCCGTTCTGCAGGACCGCGTCAAGGCCACCAACGATGCTAACAAGCCTCAGGTCTATGGCCATATCTTGCATGAAATCTTTCAAGAGGCTATGAAAGCAAATACTTGGAACCTACCCTGGTTGAAGAATCTTATCAATTCCATTTTACCAAAATATATTGAAAGCCTGTTTGACGTTAATCTCACTTTCAACGATGCAGCCAGCTATCTTGAGTCCAAGATGCCTGCCCTTAGAGATTGGGCAAAGTCATATGTCCATCCTCGTCCAACGGTATGCTCTCGCTAGAATACGCTACATTGATCATGCTCTAATAGAAATTTCTTACAGGCTGGCTCGATGATGGATGATAGGAACGGAGCTACATCAAAGATATGCATCAATAAACTGCTTGAGGTTGAAGAGCATGTATGGTCGCCTATGTACGGCCTTAAAGGCAATATCGATGCTACCGTACAAATCGTCCTTGAGGAAGAAGGGAGCCAAAAAACGCTCACAGTTCCTCTGGAAGTCAAGACGGGAAAGAATAATACAAATCAATCACATCGAGCGCAAACGGCATTATACTCATTACTCCTTTCTGACCGCTATGGTATGTCGGCTTCCTCTCATTTGCATTTTCAAGCTGAAGAGCTGAACACTAACGACCAGCAGATATAAATGTTACTTTTGGGATATTATATTATTTGGAAATATCAAAGACTCTTCGTGTTCGCGCCATACCGGGGGAGATACGGCAAATGATTCAGCAGCGAAATTTACTCGCCGGATATCTCCGCCAACATCTGGAGCTCCCACCCATGTTAAAGAATTCTAGACTTTGCAGCCCTTGCTACGCAAAGACATCATGCTTCCTTTATCATAAACTTGTCGATGACGGCACAGAGGAAACCAGCGGGGTAGGGAAGATCTTCCAAGAAACATCTGGTCATCTCAGGGCTCCTCATCAGGCATTTTTTAAGAAATGGGATGACCTCCTCACTCTTGAAGAGAAGGAGATGTCAAAATTCCGCCGTGAGCTATGGACTATGGTTAGTGCTGAACGCGAGGGAGTAGGGAGATGCTTCGGCAACGTCATTATTGAGAACGGTTCTGCGTCTGAGAATTCGGAAGGGCCACGAATAAATCGGTTCCAGTATACCTTCATCAAGCCGAAGTCGGTCTCAAGCTTCTCATTTACAGAATCACAGATCAACGTTGGTGAGCCAATTGTTATCTCCGACGAGCAAGGTCATTTCGCTCTTGCAAACGGATTTGTGGTGCAAATCAGCCCGAGACGCATCACAGTGGCAGTTGACAGACGACTTCACAATGCTCGAAATAAAGAGCCCGGCTTCGACGCCGTCAACAATCAAGCCTTCCAGGGTATCATGGATATTTCGTCCAAAAATAAGAATGCCATAGATATAAACCGTGACACAGAGAGCCCGATGCTTTACAGGCTGGACAAAGACGAATTTAGCAATGGACTGGCCATTGTTAGAAACAATCTAGTTTCCCTGATGGCGCGGGATGTTTTTCAGTCTGCTCGGCTCCGCGAGTTGATTGTAGAGGGAGCTGCACCGGTTTTCAAACCTGGTTCACCCCTCTCTCTCCTCCCAGAGAGTGTTGGGCCTAATCTAAATATGGATCAGAAAATGGCCATTGGGAAGGTTCTAACTGCTGAGGATTATGCGTTGGTCCTCGGTATGCCTGGAACCGGTAAAACAACAACAATCGCCCAAATCATTCGTGCCCTGGTGTCCCAAGGGAAAAGTGTTCTACTCACCTCCTACACCCACACAGCAGTCGATAACATCCTGCTCAAGATTCGAGATGATAAGTATAGAATCCTCCGTCTAGGAACACCGTCAAAGGTTCACCCCGAAGTTCAACAATTCGCGGAAATGGCAGCAACACCGAAGAATACAATTGAGGAACTTGAAGATTCATACGAAAACTCAAAAGTTGTAGCAACAACATGTTTAGGGGTCAATCATCGAATCTTTAATACCCGAACTTTTGATTACTGTATAGTCGACGAAGCCTCACAGATTACCTTGCCTGTTTGCCTAGGCCCTATTCGCATGGCTAAAACGTTCATCCTTGTGGGAGACCATTACCAGTTACCTCCGCTTGTTCAAAGCAAACAAGCCATTGAGGGCGGTCTTGACCTTAGCTTGTTCAAGTTGCTATGTGACATGCATCCATCCTCAGTGGTGAACCTAGAACATCAATACCGCATGTGTGAAGAGGTCATGCTTCTATCAAATACGCTGATATACTCCAACCATCTCAAATGTGGAACGCCAGCCATTGCAACCCGCTCACTTTCTATTCCAAATATTGACGGCCTAAAACGCATTCATCCAACTTCCTTCCCGTCATCCTCTACCCAACCACCCTGCCTAGGCCCTAGTCACAACAGATGTTGGCTTCGAGACCTCATCGATCCTCGTGCTAAAGCACGTTTTGTTAACACAGATTCCCTTCGCCCGGAAGCTCTGGACTCCGCTAAAGGCTCCCGTATCATTAACGAGGTAGAGGCTACACTCTGTGCACAACTTGTTGAGGCATTTATCTCCGTCGGTATTGCTGCACAGGACATTGGCGTTGTTACACTCTATCGAAGCCAACTCTCCCTCTTGAAACAGAAACTTCGGCACCATGGTTCCGGGCTTGAAATGCATACTGCAGACCGTTTCCAGGGCCGAGATAAAGAAATCATAATCATGAGCTGCGTACGAAGCAACTCGGACAGGAACGTAGGTGACTTGCTACGAGACTGGCGGCGAGTCAACGTCGCGTTTACCCGAGCCAGAACCAAAATGCTCATAGTGGGCAGCAAAGCTACTCTTAGTGAAGGAAACGAGCTTCTAGGGAAGTTCACAGCTCTAATGGATGAGCATCAATGGCGGTATGATCTACCACCTAATGCTGTCAGCCAGCATTTCTTTGAAGAGCACGATTCACTCTTCACACAAGCAATGAACTCTCGAACTCCGAAAGCGAACAAAACGGCGAACACCTTTTCTCCAAGTCCGACAAAGAAATTGACTCAGTCTCGACTTCCACTTAGTCCCCTGAAGAATAATAAGGCAAACACCTTCCCCGGATCTGCATCGGGCATGAAAAGGCCGCAGAAAGTTGGAAAGCCATTGGATGGAGAGAAAATTGTCAGAAAAAGGCCCGTGCTGATGGATGTTCTTAATGATATGCTCGGATGATATGTCTAGGCCCCCTCTTAAGTCACTAACAGTGCGGTTACGTTGTCCTAGACTCAAATTGGAGCCAGTTGGCTTTTGTGGAACAATCTTATTACCCCCATATATGTTTCTTGGGTCTTGAGCATCGCCTTTATAAGCTCGTGTTTATAGATTGTGTTCGGCGTTCAGTTCTGGGTATTGTGAAGGAAACAAGTTTAAGATATAATACACGCAGGAGTAATAGAATAACCTATCTATATCTGCAGATGCAGAGTCAGAAGCTTGCAACATTGCCACCAACATATTCCCAGCAGATATATTTCCGTCGAGGAGAGGGCTCTTCGTCCTTATAATCGACATTTTCCCCCTCCCGCTTAGCACTTGTAAAGGGTAATGCCATGACAGAGTAGCCATCCTTCCCATCCACTGCGTCCTTCCCCATTGCTGAGACAAGGAGCCCAAACCAGTGGCCAGCACTTGTAGACTTTGAGCCACATTTCCGTCTATATTCAGAAGGTTAGAAGCTTCCAGCTAATATAGATGTGGAAAGGAGCCTTACAATACTGATAAAAGTAACATCATAACCCAGCTGGATGGTATTAAACCTCTCCATGTGATCTTAACTAGATCTGTTGTCTTACATTTATCTTTCTGCGGAACTTGATATCGGCTTAGATATGGATCGATTGAGTCACTTGCCAAAATCCGGTCTGATCCCAATGACGCTAGGCCCAACCACTCCTGTAACTCGTCACAGGTCCCACAGAGAGCATCTCTGTCTTCTGTCGGAAGGAGAGACTCTGAACCAAAGGGTGGTACAAGAACTTTTTCCATCATAATTTCTGCTGGCGAGAGCGTAATGATCTGTGGGTGATACTTTTTGATAGGGGCATCTGCTTCATTCGTTAGAATGAACCAACCAAGAGGAATAAGGGAGTGTCGTACCCTCATCGGTTAAACTTGGGGGTTCAGATAGATCAGTAAACAACCACGTTACAGAGTTGTTTAAAACGTTCTTAAACGCCCATGAAATCCGTTCGAACCCTTTCTTGCCATGTAACATTGATGAGGGTCGGAGATTTATTTCCACCACTAGATAGTTAGATTAGTATATAGATCGAGATCGTCTACTACGGAGGTGCCTACTATATCTTGATTTTATGTGCTTCCTATCCCCCGATCGAATGGCCTTTCCCACGAGGCCTGCACGTTCATATGTTGACTTATCAAGTTCAAGTGTAAGAACCCCTAATGCACCTGTTTTAGCACCAGTAGAGTAAACTAGAAAGCTATTTCTTACCGTCTTTGAGAGTATAGACATTGTCTATGCCGCTTCTTCCCTCTGATATCATAAGGACATTTCCTATGTATGTATGTCAATATTTATCGTATCGGAAGAAGCAAGCTAGGACACGTACCAATCTTGATATATTTCGTGAAAAATTCCCCTTCTAACAAGCCTGATAAGGGAAAAATAGCTCGCGCATATTGATGTGGCTTAATTTCTCCCAAAATTGAAATCCAGGCTGCCTCATGTACATGTCGCGGAATTATTAACTCAACCTGTCGAAAATATAAGCTGGACTGTTATGGAGATAAGTATTTGTCCCATACCTTGTGATTGAACGCATGGCCGAGTATAGCAGAAAAAGGCGCCCTCTTCTGAGGCGGCTGAGCGGGATCAACGAATACAGGCAAATTTCCAATTGATATAAGGCATTTCTCTTTGTCCATCAATGGATCTTCGAAGTCAAACATTGTGTCTAGGGATTGCCTGCTGCTGTTTCTTCCATAAAACACCTGATATCACCGCTGTCGAGCAACGCCAGCAGGATTTAAGGGTATCTGAGACTATCGATGTCAAAGTCTCTCATTATACGGTTCAGCTCTGTCGGGTATATTATAAAACTTCGTTCACAGTCTATTGTGTTGTGGTTCACTGCGTTAATGTCATTTATCTTATTGAAATTGAACAGACTGCCAAGCCGAGAGCTTCTGCTTCAAAAAGCGCCAAACACAACGATACAAAAAACCCATCCCAGGCGCTTCAACTGAAGAGCGGCGAGGGCTCAATTTGAAGCTCCGAACATGCCGCCAGCTTCTTCGAATTTAGTATCCAAGGATCGGTTCGCTCATTTGTTCGGTGGCTTACGGACACAGAGCTACCCAGATCCTAACGCGCGAGGCCCGGGTTCTCATAGGCATGCAGCTCCATTTCTCTACAGTGCTCATATATTGAATGAAGACAAGGAATATGATGCTAATTAGTGCTTTTTAGCATCCGTACTTTGGCATGGAATCCAACGGGAACGTTGATAGCAACCGGATCTGTTGATCGAACGCTGCGCATCTGGAACCCGGAACGACCAGACGTGAGATATTCAACCGATTTGCGCGGGCACGCTTCCGGCATCGAACAGATAGCGTTCAACCCCGTGAAGGAATCTGAGCTCGCCAGCTGCTCAAAGGACGGAACTGTTCGCTTTTGGGATGTGCGCTCAAAGAACTGCGTCGGCCGTGTCGATGTTGGAGGGGAGGCCTTTTCCCTCGCATGGTCCCCCGATGGAAGCGTACTGCTTGCTGGGAGAATGGTATTCAAATTCCTTGTTATTCACTCACTTCGGTATCTACAGTAAGTATTCTAACAATTTTCTATCCAGGATGACACCTTAGTTCCCATATCCGTCGAACCAGTAGCCATGTCTACCAATCCTGCACCCAATGCGCCAAAAGCGCCATCAACCTACAAAGCATTGTCTCACCATAAACAACCTATCCGTACGAATGGGATTGCATTCTCACACTCTTTCGAACCAAATCTTTTCCTCACTACCGGGGATGGAACTGTCAAAATCGAATCTTACCCATCTTTCAACACACTACATACGCTCAATGCCCATACAGCCGCTTGTCTTTGTGTCTCGCTTGCTCCAACTGCGAGGTATCTAGCCATTGGTGGAGGAGATTCACTTATTTCCCTCTGGGATACAACGAATTGGGTATGCCAGCGCACTGTCTCGAGTAATGGTGGTGGAGCCGTTCGCGGTATTAGCTGGAGTTGGGACGGACGGTTTATAGTGGGCGCCTGTGATGAAACCGACTGCGGAGGCACAGGTTTGGAAATATTCCATGCTGAGACCGGAGATAGTGTATACACTATACCAACGGGCAATTCCAACGTTGGGGTCCCTGCCGTAGCCTGGCATCCATCCCGCTATTGTCTTGCGTACTCTCTCTATGCAGAGGGTATTGGGAGTGGAAATAACGGCCTACGCATCGTAGGTGCCGGTGCAGGTGACTTCTGAAACCTGCTGATGATATATGAACTAAATAGAAAGAGGTGCCAGACTTACCTTCGTTACGGCACAATGACTAGTATGATCCAGGTTTCTATTATGGCGATAATAATAGCTACCGTCAGCGCCGCTGCTTTAAGTAAACGACAGAGTGACCATATAGGGGCAAACAAGGAGACCCAAAGGAGTCACTGAATTACAACAATTGACTGCCTGCAATGACACATCAAAATGAAAGATCTTACATCATGTTGTGTTACAAATTTTAATTCAACTACTAGGACGTATACTTTTGTCAGTCGCATATTTTTCGTTTTGGTGTATTTTCTTCTAATTTAATTCGTCAAATGATCAATTCGATCGCAGGATACAATCGCCGCCAGCGTATATGTACATAAGAGGAGATAAACGCGCCCTCCGCTTTCCAAATCACTGCCTTCCACGAAAATGCTCATAGATTCCTAAATTCTTAAATCCCGTTTTAGAATCGTAGTTTTCAACCTCCATAAATATAGGTCCCTGAATCATGAGAGCATTGGGAATATATATAAGTAACCAAAATACTCGTTAGCGTATGTGAGCATACGAAAACTGACACAAAACCCGGAAGTAGTATGAAACACTAAAAGGTGGGTGAATAGCATGGATGGAAAGGGGTAGTATATGATAGAGTGATGGGCCGTTTGGGAGAGTTGGGATGATTAAATTCAATTAAACTGTGTGGTGTATATAGAGCAAAAATATAAGATTCAAAAGTGGTATATAGTTAGTGTGTTGTATATTCGAAAATACTGAGCTGTTTATCGGCTCCATTGGTTAGTATTAAATGTTTCAGGAGATTGAGACCATGGGATATCTTCAAGTGAAGATAAAACTGCTTCCATGGTTGATGATGTAGGGGTAGGGGGTATCAAATCTGATTCATTAGGTTGGGAGTGTTGCTGTTGTTGTTGTATAAAATCCCACCCTTCAGGTAAGCTGAAAAGTTCCTGTTGGAACTGAGCCTCTGACGTGGCTACGGCGAAGTCCTGTGGGAAAGGTGTAGTATTAGTTTTGTTTGGATTCTGCATTGAAGCTCCAAATGCGCTTCTAGTATCGTTGGTCATGTATGACAATGAAGGTGGAAGATGCTGGGGAAGAGGCTTCTGATTATGCATGCCACCTTGCTTTGGGGAGGGTTGATCGAGATGCGCTGGTGAGAACGAGCTGCTTGAGGAGGTTTTATTTGTGTTTGGGCTGGGATTATCCGAGCAAGAGTGATGGCGCTCGCTTCCGGTGCTGGTACCACCAGCCGAAGCATCTATCTCCAAGTCCATGAATCTGAAATGGTCATCTTGTGCCTGGGATATTCCTACATTGGGTATATTTCCAGGCACCCCTAGGCCATAAACTTGAGATTGGGCAAGAAATTGTTGCTCCCCAGGTTTGGGGCGCCCTTGACTAGGTACGCCTGGGGGATCTGATGATGAGTTTGTTGCTGGAGATTTTGAAGTTGAAGATGTTTTTGAATCCTGGTTTTGTTTGTCCAAAAGAGCAATATCGATGATGCCGATAGCGCATTTTTCAAACTGAGAACGCACTGCCTATAACACGAGACACATATTAGCCGCGCGATATATACCAAAGGGTGAGATGAAACATACACGGAGGGCTGCCTGCCTAGCATCGTCCTCTGGGGATCTGTGTACACTACTGTATGAGAATCTCGACACTCCCTCATCTGTCATCAGCCCACTCCCTTCAAGATCTACATCTAGCTGGACAAGGAATGACTCTGCCAGAGGGACCTTCCTCTTGAGGGCGTTCATCGCTGAGAGTAGGAACTGAAGGGAAGATCTAACGGCTTGGTCTTGGGGCCTAGACTTGAGGTACTGGACGAAGACTCTAGCAGCAACATATAGACAAAACACAAGGAAGGGATTCATCTATCCATGCCAACGTCAGCATTGGTCGGTCAGAATGACATATTCGGGTGATTTACCTTCGCTAAGTCCATATGAGAGACCATTTTCATTATGTGGGTGATTTGATCGGCTGCGATGATACAACGTCGTTTACTCTCTGTAGATATCTGGCCAGGCATGCTGTGTTTTTCCGCCTTATAAATCGCAGCCTGGTGAAGACATATAGTCGAGGCATGGATACACATGTTGCCAAACACGATTTCGGAGTTGTTGATGCCTTCCGGTAGACGGAGGTGGTTAGGAAGTGAGAGAGATGTGTGAAGTAGGATATTGTCGAGGGCTCGATGGCGTTTCCAGAATTCGCCGTTTAGATCGTGGTCTCTGTCGTTAGTGGTGACACGGTGAAGATGGTGTAGATTACGGCCAAACATGCATGCTAGCAGTACCGTAGCTGCATAAGGGGATAATGAACTTGTTTCTTGACCGGATATAGTCTCTGCTAGGGATGAGGTTGGCTGCTCCACGGAGTTGACAAATGCTTCTTCGGATGCAGGGAGATTTGTCAAAATCTAGACAACCAAAATGTCAATACTAGATATTATAGTTGGATGAGCTGGGTCAGATAAAAACCTACATCTCTCTCATCCACACTCATCGGCCAGCCTGTACCAGCCGAGGCATATCTATCCTGACAGAAAGCAGCCCAGAAGGTCCGCCTCCTCTCCTCGCGCTCGGTCCAGTCTCTGGCTGGCGGTAGAGCCTGCTTGACATCTAGACCACGAGCATCCTGACGGTTAAGGCCCAACATCAAACAGAGCCGCATTCCCGAACCGGTGCTCATCCACGCTCTGGGGAAGTACATCATTTTAAACTCGTAACACCCGATTAATAGCCAGCATTGTGCATGCGCTACTGATATAATGTTCTCACCTAGACCTTTCATCTGATCTAGTTCAGCGTACTTGCGAGCTCGGGTGTAGAAGTGAGTATGTATGTCTGCATATTTGTCTGTAGCAGCGGCCGCATGCGCCCACATGATGTACCGCAGACATATCGGTGGGCGCATTGAAGGTGCCAGATTCATCGCAGCATAATAGCGCGGTTTATGTATCATGGGAGAGGACGGATGTATCTTTTCAAAGTATATTTCATCCCTGTTATTGAATATTAGCCACTTATATCAACCACTATATGAACCTCAGTAGACATAACGTACAATTCATCAATAACCTCTTGACTCGGTAAGGGTTCCTCCAACCCTAAGCCGATCATTTCCCACGAGAACTCTCTCGAAGAAGCACTGTTCGAAGTTGGAAGAGTAGCTGGCGGGGGTAGCATATCTCCCATATCTCCAAACACATCCATACCATCGAGAGATAGATTTGGGTCTGCTTCGACTGACTTTGGGACTGCAGTACGGATAGGGAACATGTTCGGTCGTCCCTGGAACGGCGCATTCTGGCTATCAAATGCTCTCGTAGGCGGCGATGGTCGACTTGACTCCGCGGTATCGACTCCCTTCAACAGGGTCTCGACCTGCGCTGTTTGTCCAAGCTATTAGCAGACCTCACTTGTATATATTGTTAACCAAATCAATGCTGCTCATAGACTCTCATACCTAGTCTGGCTTCCAAATGCTTGACATATCCTCTCTTTGGACCGCTCTTTTTCCTGACTTCGTTATAAGCACAGTCATGGCCCAGCCGTGAACAATTCCCACAGCTCGGTTTTGCCCCGTCGCATCGAAGCTTTCTCTTCCTGCAAACAACGCAGGCAATGCGCTTTGGTCTAGGTATGTATCCCGGGTTCCCTTCCTGAGCACCTGGCGACTCTGCCCGGGTCCTCGTTGGTGCCGCGCTTTCAGCCACAGCTGCGCCGGTCGGTTCATTGCCGCCCGCCATGGCTACGTCAGGGGGAAAAACCGCTGATATCGCTTGCCGTCTCCCCGTCGGCCTTGAATCTCCGTTATCTTCTGTATTTTCAGTGGCGAGTTGCGGGGGAGCCGGTGGTTGGTTGGGAGTGGAACGGCGGGAAGGATTGAGGCTCAGAATCAGATGAACGCGGGTTTCGGCCGTGGCGACATGGACGAAGATGAAGGGCGTCTATTTTATCTGATTGATAGGGACATCATGTCGCTTCTCCGGCTGTACAGCGTTTTCTTTTATTACGTTCAGGCGACGTAAAAGCTGCTGCCTGCGATGTGGATAAGAATATGCTTGTCTAGTCAAACTTTTTGCGATGCAAGTTGCCGTCATGGCATTAATAATCAGAGCTGACGATGATATTTATAGACAAGAATACGATCTCAGCCGCGAAAGGGTCTGATGTGGCAAGAATATTAAGGTAGTAATATAGTAGCATATCAGATTGCCTTTTAGTACAGGAATATATAGTACACGCTCCCCAAAGAACGTAAGCAGAAGGAGCTCTATCATCAACTCTTCAACCGTGCAGCAAGAAAAAGGACAGCAGGATGTGAGGCCACTAATTGTATCCTCTGCGACGCTTTCCTTGGTTGCGGACTCTCGGGGTAATGACATCTCTGTTGATGTTCGCCTTGATTCTTGTCTTGTATCCGGATTTGGCCTGTACCATTGAGTTAGCAATGTTACTGCAACACTGTGATAGACGGCGGAAGAAAGGTGAAAAGGACATACCGGTAGACCCCATGGACTTTTGGGATGGACACCACCCTTGGACTTTCCTCTACCACCACCGTGGGGATGGTCCTTTGCGTTCATGGCCACACCACGGACGGTAGGACGGATGTTGAGCCAGCGCTTTCGGCCTGCCTTACCGAGCTGAGCATACTTCTTGTTGACATTGCTGGCAACTCCGATGGTGGCACAGCAGTCCTTATGGATCAGACGGACTTCACCACTCTGCAGGCGGACGGCAACGTGCTCGGACAACTTCTTGAGCCTCTTCCATTCTAGCTCAGACATGACGGTTTTCTCACCAGCAGCATCAGCGTCACTCCTGATCTCGGCTTCGACTTCAGCATCAAGCTTAGCGTCCTTGGCCGCTTCGCTTGAGGTGTCTTCGGCTTCGGTCGGTTCTTTGCTGTCCTTTGACTCAGCGGTTGCGTTTTCTTCCTTGGGCTTAACTTCTTCCCATGGAGGGGGGGCTTCACCGGCTTTGGTCATCAGGATACCGTATGTCCCAGCACCACGGCAGAGCTGACCACCTTTCCCCTTGTGTAGACCAATGTTGAAAATCATTGAACCTATAGGAACCATGTGTAGAGGCAGACAGTTCCCTCGTCGAGCGGTCTTGGCCGCCAGCACACCAGGGTCAATACCACCGCCCATAGCCTCCCACAGGTCATCCGGGATACCGGCACGATAACTTTGCACGATATCGCCTTCCCTCATCCCCTCCGCCGCAAGAACGTAGCTCAATTTCTTTGTAAGCTTAGACTTCAACAAGGCAATGTGCGCTGTCCGGCCGGGGTCATGCTCAATTCTCTGGACGACATGGGGACCAGGCTCGTTCCGCTCAAAGTCAACAATGCGTATTCTTCGCTTGTGACCGCCTCCTCGATGACGGACAGTAACTCGTCCGGTATAATTCCTTCCACCTTTCCCATGACCTTTCTTGGGGAACGTAAGCTCGTGGACTGGTCTGCCCTTCCATAGATGGTCGTTTATAGGTCTCCGCAAGTGCCTGAGACCGGGTGTACGTGGTGTGTATGATCGTAATTGGATGGCTCTCTTATCACGGACCGGAGGCGGAGCCATAGAAAGGTCATCGTCAAGATCAGCTGGGTCAGCGGCTGTCTCTTGTCTCCTGAGGGGAGTGCTGGAAAATGGCCGGTATGCAAGCGTTGTGAGGCATTTGCAGGACCGTTGAAGGCCGCCAAATGGTACACGAGCCTGCAGCATGGTGCAATTGAGTGCCTGGATGCTCCTTGCAGGCCGGTATAAATTTCGTCGATGTCTAGGTGTTCTTCTGGCTTATTGCTCCATCAAGGCTCCCAAAAAAGGGTTCAATTGCACTTCTTCCTCCTTCCACGTTATATGTAGAGGTTTTAGCCGCCCTCTATCGTCGCCCAGATAATGCGCCGGCTGGTTTGAATCGATCCGTCTTTGCGTTGAAGCTCGTCGTCCTTTTTTCGTTCGTCACTTTTTTGCTTTTTGATAAAAAAACTTTTTTGGCCGCAAAATTCCCATGTCACGTGATATCGAATTGGTCAAGCAGGACAGCAGCGGAAGGGCATGGAGAAGAATAATAGTGAACAGAGAGGAATAGAAGACAATAGAGAGCAGGCATATCAATAGGAGGCGGCATTGAATCAAGGAGTTTAATAGTTATCTCTATTTACAGTATTTCTTCTGCGGCTGCCACCTAGCAACACATACTATATATGCTGCCGTTTCCACCTACTGTTTATACAACATATAAGACGAAACTTATACGGCGAACAGAAAGGGAGCCAAGAATGAATACCCAATCTACCAAGAATATAAGGAAACAATAAATAAATAAATAAATAAAAGGAAGCTCGAAATATGGACCTTGACGATCGCGTGGTGCCGTAACCGAAATACCATAATGACAAGACGAAAAATGACGGTTTCTGTGGTAACGCCCTTTGTTTTGGTCTGCGTGCGTCACGCTGATACGCCTGCACGGCCAAGCGAGAGCGTGCAAAGCGTGCAAAGCGTGCAAAGCGTGCAAAGCGTGCAAAGCGTGCAAAGCGTGCAAAGCGTGCAAAGCGTGTATGGCGTCTGTACCAGCCGCGTATCGTGACCGTTCGTCGCCAGCCCAAAACCCCCCAAAATTACAGGGCAAAATTACGGCAGCGAAACTTTTATATCTTTTCGACTTTCTTTGACTTGCAAAACTTCAACTTCTTCAACATCAACAGCACCGCCAGCGTCGCCCGCACGACAGCACAGCATCTCCTACGCCGAATATCACCACGCTCCGGCTGCAGCTTTTACCTTCTTCTCATCTCTTACTCGGCGTATCACCAGCTTACCGTCGTCTCCAGGGTTATATTTCTCTGACGCGGTCGATTCTCGTGGGGTCTGAACTCATATAAACATACGCCCAGAAGCCAGACATAGTCACCTTCTCAGACAGAGTTACAGTGAATAGTCAAGCAGCAAGTCATCTACAGTCGATAGGGTGAGTTTGGCCGCTCCAATTCTCTCGTTATTTCATTCTGTTGTGGTGTGTGGGCTGGTGGTGCTGCCAGCACGCGAATTCTCTTGCTTCCATGGGATGAGGCTTATTTACACGGTCGACCACCACCACGTCCCGTCCTATCAACGACCCATGTAATTCCCTTAATCCACCACAACCACCACCACCACC